AAACCCCACACCAAAAATAGTGCCGACATTGCATTAATAATCACAAGTCAACACATAAACTTCCTAATTGATCTAATAATAAATTTATGACTGACATAAGATTATAACAGGTTAAATATCATTATAAAATATCCATTCATTATATAATGATAATTAGTTTATCATAATCATATCTCATATAATTGTATAAAAAATTAATTAGGAAATAGTTAAGAAAATTATATTAATTATTATCTAAAAGTAACAAAAATAATTTTTTTTAATACTATATATATACTTACTTTAAAATAATATATTCACTAAAAATAGTTAAGATGACAATCCTTACTTGATTTGAAACATTTCTAATCATTTGAGATATATCCTAAAGGCACACTAATGTTTGCACATAATAGGTGTTGGGATAGGGCGCAATTATATAAGCATGTTTAGTCTTGAGTAAGGTGTAGTTAGGATTTTTCATATGCATGACCATTGTTGTGTGTATTATCTGTGTTTTTGCTGACCATTATTTATTTGCCTTTTTGATATGTTTACTGAGTATGGATATCCTCACTAGATTAAAATATTTATGATTTTCTGTAGTTAGTCATGTTCATAGAGGGGGGGAGGGAATTAAAATAGAAATCATAATGTTATATCTATAGGTGCTTTCTTGTCCAATTCTCCCACTAAACAAGACTCATTTTCAAATTGAATGCCTTATATTTGTGTGTGTTAATCTCCATTTTGTAAGAAATTGAGTATATAATTTTATAATTGTTAAATTATTTTTAAGGCCTATGTAGGTCTGTACTTAAAATAAGATATCTACAAGCATGAATGACCGAGGAGCTTGATGTTTAGGATCATATGGGAATGAAGACCAAGGGCAGATTTCTCATGCCTCACATTAATTTTAGAATATATTTTATTGTATATATTTAAGATCAGATTTTTTATGTTGAAATCGAGCATTTTTTTTTCTTGGGATTATATTATCGATGCAACAACATCTAATCTTTATATTTATTATTTCATGGTGTGTTGCCTTTTTGCACCACAAGTTATTTTTTGTTTGCTTTATTTATGTTTGTTATTTGTTCGGGCTCGCGTATGTGTTTAGGACCATATGGTAATTTTTTTTTTTTACAAAATCCTAATCTTTTCTAAATTGTTACTATTAAAAAAATAAATATTCTACTTACTGCATGGTTTATGAACACCTTTTACATGATAATGCATAACATGGCCCAATTTTATGTATGCTAATAGAGCTTTAACATTAAGGATATATAATATTGCATTATTTTGCATGTCGCCCTGGGAGGTATACTTGATTCCCTTCATTTGACCATACATATGATATATATTCCCTTCATCTGACCATACATAGGTGGTTGTTTAGAGCGCTTAAGGGGTTTAGCACTGGCCCTGATATGAAAATGATTATAAGTTTATGTGCAAGTAGTCTAGCTTTTATGGTCAAATTTTCTTCTTATACTTTTGACATAGGCATCTCCTAATGATTAGATGAGAATAGATCATATTCTTGTCTTTTCAATTGGATAGAGTTATATGATCCTAGATTATTTTCTTTCTTTGAGTTCAAGTTTCTGGAATATCCATTGACGACACAATGCATAGATTGCTGGCATGAAATTTTTTCCTGTGATTAGCTAATTACCTTCATGGCTAAACAGACTTATGCTTTTAATAGTTTGGTATGATGGATCCATATAATCATAACTGACATACTTCACGATATTTAGGAATTCCTTACCTATCCATTGACATCTTCTTTGAGCCCATTCAACCCATCGATGTATTTTGTTGATAAAATTTTGCAGGTCTTTTATGTTGAGAGGTGAGTACTTGCCCGGTTACATTGATTCACCCTCTGCCAAATGACTCAATTTAGCCTTGATAACATGAGATTTTCCCAATTAATGATTATACTAAGGGGTTGTTTGGTTGAGTGATTTGTGGTGTATTGTAATTCTTTTGTAGGGGCTTGAGAAAATTATATGTTTGGTATGAAAAATTACAAATACAATGTAATGTATGAATGAATTTGGAGTTTACACCATAGTTCATTTTGACTGAATTTAGAATTCAACTGATCTGACCGAATTTGAATTACACCATTCATATAAATTGTAATAAGCAAGTCACCGCTCCTGCATAAGACCACCCACCACTGACCATCCTCTACATGCCACCAATGCCTGTCCACCACCTCCGCCCATCACCGTCGGTCTATCGTCGCCACCCACCATCATCGCTGTCACTATTGCCCGCCATCATCGTTGTCACATGCCAATGCTACCGTTTTCCAGTGCCCCAGCTCGTTGCCCGCCGCCACTTGCTGTCCACTACCACCGCTTGCCCGCCACCTCCGCTAGCCCCTACCCATCGTAACCCTCCACAGCTACGAGCTTGTCGCCTCTCACCACTGCCACCCGCATGTTTCTAGCCATCACCCTTGCTCGCCGACTGCCATCCATCGTTTGACACGAGGCCTAGCGGCCCATTGCTATCAGCTGATTGTCGGTCCTCTCGCCGTCGCAAGACAAAAAATAATTTTTGAAATACATTGTATTCAATCTACTTTAAACCGAATGAAAAACATAAAATCTAATGTTTATTTTACGGTGAGCAAAAAACTCGAATGTATTATATATATATTGTAATCATAGTACTCTACAACTATTTTACATTTCATTTCATTTTTAATAAACCAAACAACTACTAAATATTTTATAACACATGAAAAATTCTTTTAATCAAGAGTTTTTTTTGGCATTCCTATAGGGACACATTCGTATGGGATGTATTTATCAACCCAAAATACTTTAAAAAAATTAATTTGATCTTATTATGCATATGAAAGATTTTTGTAGGACTTTTTTTGTGTATTTTTTGGGTTAAGATTCATTTTCAATCTTATTTGTATTACTTTTCCTCTTACCCATGTCTTGAAGACCACCCTACAAGAATTATCCACACTTGCCTTTTATCCTCTTAATGTTTTTTCTTAATTTTATTTTTCTTCTGTCCGGCTTTACTCCTACTTATGGAGAGGAGATTGCATGAGAATGGAATCATAAAAAGATGTTGAATACATAATGACAAGATGGGCCCAAAACAAACATATCATTATATATATCATAGTTGAGAAGGGCACCATCCACAAAAAAAAAAAAAAAGAAAAGAAATCACCCATATTCTTATGCATCATTTTATAAAATGACATCCATTAAGAGCTTTCTAGCTTTATATTTTTAAATTCCTTTATCAATTAAATTAGTTCTCACGTCATCTTATGCCACATTCATATTTTTTAAAATACTTAATCAGATACAAATTTTCCAAAGTAGATTCAGGTGATTAAGCCGACTTCATTGTTGCTAAAAATAATATGCTTCCCTTTAATACTTAATATGATACGGTTCCCCTCAGTCACATTTTTATCAACTATCCTTAATATAATTAATGAATTTAAGCTTAAAAAAATGTATTTTTGGATATCGTAGAAGTGACGTAAAAGGCATCATTGTCTTTACCATTGAGTTCATTAGCTTCAAACAATCTAATTAGCTTCTCAATTTCACTCCCACTTTCATATGAAACCAAAGTAGTGTATGTTCTATTCAAGCATAATTAGAGCACATGTTAACAAACATGATAAAATAACTCTAACAAGCAAAGCACAATGTTAATCATTATGTATTTTGACAAATTCTCATATGACATCATAATGAAATTATGTTTGGATAATCATTACCTAACTTTGAACAATGATCAAATCAAGATAAAATATTGATCGAACAATCTTTGAATTGTATTTAAATCATGATCAAATAATAATTGCCTACTAATAAACATTTTATAACCATCATCAATCATGATTGAATAGCTTTCAAATCACCATTGAATTTATCAAGATTCAAACATGATCCTATCAAAGTCCTAGCAATTAGCTTAATGTCTCTAAGCATTTTGTGTTTAAGTTTTGGAATGCCAATACCATATTCAAACATAAATAATCAATACATATCATGACAAACCTTCTTAAACATTCAAATATTAATGAAAGAAAAGAAGATCCCGGCAAAGAGATAATTGAATATATTTAAAAAACCAACGATTATATTTTTTGAATACGAGACGCATATTAAAAAAAGTCCAGTTTTCGAGCGGACAGTGGAAGGCCAGCTTTCAGACAGCGATCTTCCTCATCCGCATTCCTTATCCGTCGAAAAATTCCCCGTAGCCTCGGGAACCCTCCTCCACGTACAAACTAGTGCAAAATTTGCAGACAAATTTCCATTAAATTTTAGCTAATTTCTCACAAATCGGGCTGGCGGGAAAGAAATTAACAGTCCCAGTCGCCGACAGTGCACTGCTCCTTGTTCTGACGAATCCAGAGGGGAGCAAGGAAAGTGGTAAGCTTACCCCGTTGTTCATATCCAAGAGCATGTTGGGGGACCATTGCTTGGCATTGGGTATTCTCGGCAGTCTGTTTTCATTTTCCTTCTCTGTTTGTCTGTCGCCGTCTTCGGAGGTCTGAGGAGCTGGATCTCGACGAGACGGGAGACATAAGGTCTGAGATCGTATAACACCCCCTTCTTCAACTCGCATTGCCGAGCTGGAGCGCTGCTTTATTTCGCGGTCTCTTGGAAAAAAAATGGTGCTTTTCGTTGTTTAGGTTTTTGAGAGTGGGGCTGAGTTTATGTCAATTTCTAGAGAAAATGTGGAGTTTTTGTTTGTGGATTGCTGGTGGAGAGAAGGCGAGGGTTTTTGGTAGTGTATTTGCCCAGGTTTTGGCACGATTTTGTTTGTTTTGATTGGCTGGTGAAGACTTTGATGGATTTGAGTAGATCTGGCCATTTCTTACTTAGTTTGTGATAATTTAAATGGTGATTCTTAGTTGCAGAGTGTTAGGATTCAAGGTTTTATGTCCAATTTTTCTTCACTGTAATGACCATTTTTGAGTTGTCATTAAGTTCGTAGCTTTTCTCTGTAAAAGTAGCTCTGTGAGATGCCATGAGACTACTTTTCTTGCTCTCTGAGATTTTCTTTGACAATGTGTAGTAAAAATGAGGCGAGTCATCACTTCTGCATTTATTGTTCGTGATCGGTAACCTGCTTTGCACGAATGTTGGTTATTTCCGGATTAGGGCTTGTACTGCAGAACTTCTGAATAAACTCCTTAGTACTGTCAATTTACACGAAAAATGTCATTTTTATTGAATCCATTGCTGTTTTTTCCTACATCCGATGTGTATTAAGCTTTCAATTTCGTGAATCTCTATCCCTCTATCAGATAAAGAAGCGAATTGTTTTAATGTATTATTGCAGGTAATTTTTGCATACCAATGGATGTAACAAATTCTCAAGATGTATTCTCGGGTCAGAACACCTGTGGTGCATTGTTGCAGCAACTTCAGGTATTATAATAGACAAAGCTTTCATTTTTATCTTGAGAATTGGCATGAGCTGGGGTTCAGCTAGTAAAATTATATATGTTAGGTCATATGGGATGAGGTTGGTGAGAGCGAAGAGGAGCGTGATAAGATGCTGCTTCAGCTAGAGCAAGAATGCTTGGATGTTTATATGAGGAAAGTCGATCAGGCTTTGAAGTCCAGGGCTCTGCTTCTTATGTCATTGGCTGATTCCAGAGCTGAACTTGCTAGTCTTCTTTCTGCTCTTGGGGAAAATACTTATGCTGCCCTTGTGAGTGAGCTTTAGGTGTTTTATTTTTGGGCATAATAACATAGATTAAGTTACACATCCCACTATGTTTTGTAATATCTGAAATTGATCTCTTTTTATAGTAAAAGTCTTGGCTTATGCTTTTACTGGTATTTAACCAGGGTTTCTCTCAATGAAAGATGCCATTATATAATCATTTTAAAGGAACTAATCTACACCTGGATCGTAAGAATTATCATACATATTGTGTGGCCTTTTAATTAGAAGAGAAAGTTGAGCTTATTTTGAAAATTTTCTCTTTCTTATCTTTTCCCGATGCTTTGGATATGGGAATGTATAATAGCATGTGTGGTTGCATGTCTCGAATTTTCTGTGCTTAATTAATGTTATATTTCAATCCTACTATTTCATTTGTTAGAAATTATTTTGTTCACTAAGAATCACCTCAGAAAGTAAATCTGTGATATTTGTTGTTTTTTAAGATTGTTGATAAACCAATCATCTGGAATTTAGTTTGGAATTAACTTATCTTTACGAAATACAATATTGATTAAGCTTTTTTGTTTTTTTTTTATTTGTATGGTTTACTCTTATCAGAGTTTATTATGGTATAAGCCTGTGCTATATAGACATATGTTCTTGGCAGAGATCATTATTAAACCTTCACTTTAGTGCGTTCCAATTAAAGATTCTGATTGCTGGACTAAATTTAGCCTTTTTTATTCATAGCCTGACAAGTCATCCGGTACAATCAAAGAACAACTGGCAGCCATTGCACCAACATTACAACAGTTATGCAAACAAAAAGAAGACAGGCTTAAAGAGTTTACTGATGTTCAATTACAGATTCAAAAGATTCTTAGGGAGATTTCTGGAAATTCACCAAATGGTGAGAAGTTGGGAATGCTAGTGGTTGATCAGAATGATTTATCATTACAGAAACTGGATGAGTTCCATGTTCAATTGCAGGACCTTCAAAGAGAAAAGGTTCTACCAAAGCTATTCAATTATAGCCTTGTTTTTGCTGTGTTTGTAAAGCTTTTTGAGGCATTTACATACATAACACCTAATTCCTATGTATTTACATATATAATATCTAATCTTTATATTACAAGAAATACTAGTATATTAACTTTTAAAAGGTGAAATACATCTTTTTCATGTATAGATTAGGTGGCATATATAAGTAAAACTTCAATTTTAGATGTTAGATATGTAAATACATAAGAATTGTCTGATATGCATGTAATTCTTCCAAGATTTTTTATGTCTATTTTTTTTTTAAATTTACAGAGTGAAAGGCTGCATAAGGTTCTTGATTTTGTGAGCACTGTTCATGATCTTTGTGCTGTGCTGGGGATGGATTTTTTTGGAACAATTACTGAAATCCATCCCAGCTTGAATGAGTCCATTGGTGTTCAGTCCAAGAGTATAAGTAATGACACATTATACAAGCTTTTCAAAATGGTTGAGAGCTTGAAGGAGGACAAGAGAGTGAGGCTACAAAAGGTACTTTTTATTCCTATGTGCAACGTCGGTTGCATGGATGTTTAAATAGAGAATTGAAACAAGTTTCGCATTGAAATGATTGGACTTAATTTTTCCTCCTACTATTGTATGTTATATTATAATGCATTGTGATAAATAACTTGCATAGATATTCTAACATTCGGTTGCATCCTCTCAACTTCGTTTATGTAAAGAGGTCACATTAATCAATATTAAAGTCATTAAAACTGGCATCCATGCTTCTTCTTTTAAATTTTCATATTGTGTTTTTAACAATATTGATGGTTGAGACATCTTAATTTGTTTATGGTTTTGATTTTTACACTTTTAAATATAATGAGTGGCATAAAATTCTAACTAATTATTCTTTCTTTAAGTTCATTGTATTTGTTCAAATTTAAATTTTACAACAAATTATGTACACCACTTTTGAAACCCTAAACTAAAGAACATCCTTGATCATTTAAAGTATGTTTAATAGTAACATAATACCATTAGAAGCTATGGTTTGATTTTTTTTTGTAGTGATGAATCCAACAAGATTGATTATTAACATTATTACAAGCCACATCATTAGCATTTGAAAGGTTTTTAATTAGAAGAGTTGTAACGTGAGCTAGGACTTTGAAAATCTAATGTATTTGTGATGTACTTTTTTTTTCAAACTTAACAATATCGGTTGACATATTTACCGTAATACATACTTTTGCTTTAGATATTGGTTTGAACAGTGTTAGTTATATTTATTTCTTCAGAATAATGGCTTGATCCAACATTTGTGTGGGGCGAGTGCTATTTTCAAAGTTGCCTATCAATATTATCAATATTTTCAAATACACCTATCTGAAAACCGTAAAATTGTCAAAAATATTCGTACCTGGATAATTGAAAATTAAGTATTATTTTGTTCACTAGTTGATCCAATATTACCATTACTAGTGAATTTATATTGATTTCGTCAAATATTTGAAAATATGGTACAAATTCATCGACTGTAATACATAAATAAATAAAAATAAAAAGATGCTGGCGGTTTGAAGAGACACCGTCTCGTAAAAAAACTCCCTCTACCCCCTACCCCTTCGAGCGAAAGAAACAAAGAGATCAAGAGGGAACAATCATTCATGCCTTGCCGAAGTAGTAGGAGGAAGAAGGTAACCTTCGTTCTGTTCTCACTAGAGAAAGTATAGAAGGAGAAGGGCATTGTGCTTGCTCTGCAGCATCAAACCGTGGTTGAATTGCGATTGAAGAGGAGGAAGGGGAGTCGAAGCCTCTGCACGCGTTGCTCTGTTGAGCTTGTTGAGAGTGAAGAAAAAAATCAAGTGCACACAGAGGAAGAGGATGAGGAATAAAAAGATAAGAGTGTGTGTACTTTTGGGTCGAGTCAACGTCGAGGGAGGAAGAAGAGGGAAGTGACGAAATTTGCGGCCTCCTTCGAGTAAAGGAAGAAAAATAGAAGGGAAATCATAGTCGACTATCCTTGCGTTCGGCGTGAGCATAGGAGGAGGTCCTGCGCCTGTGCTTTGTCGGGGTGAGATGGGACCGAAGGAAGAAGAGGAGCAGAAGAAGAGAAGTTGAAATATATATATTTCAATATATATATTTCAACTTCTCCTTCGAAACTGCATTCACTAATTGTTAGTCCTGATTTTAATAAAACATCCTCACACACACACACACACACACACACAGATATATATATCTATAG